TCTGCTTCTGGGTGTTACTCTTCCACTACTCATAATCCAGCTCACTTACTGCTCCGCCTGCCAGAAGTACGAGATCAAAAGTTTTGATCTTGAAATTCTCGCATCTCAGTCTCTTGTTGCTGCTATTTCTCTTCTCTGCATTTCTCACAATCTGCGCAAGTATCGATTGAGGAAGTTTCTGTTTGTGGATAAGTACCATGGTCATGGGGCACAGTTTCGTAAAGATTATGTGAAGAAAATCAATGTAAGCAATTACCCTTGACTTTTTTTTTTTTTTTTCTCTATCCTTTCTTCAAATCATTCTATGATATCTTTGATTCTCTTTGATAATTGTTCTTGAACCCTCAATTGATGTGCTAAATGCTATCTGATATTTTCTATGGAAGATGGTAATCTGTATATAGTGGCACAATAATGGGTATGTATATCTGAGTTCATCCAGAAAAAGAAAAGGGTTATGGATATGAAAGATGACTTACCTTAATGAGAAAATTGGGAAAACAAAATTCAAAAAACTCCACCAACTTCTAGTTGCACTTTTCAGAAGTTTCGACTCTATATAAAATCAAGGCATTCAAGTTTCTTCTTGAGCTTGTATGGAAGTTTATGTAGATGAGTTGGCTGTACGAGATTATCTGTCTATTGTGAGTTTAGTTTGTCTTTGCTTATCTATTTTATTTATTTATTTATTCAGGATTTCTTCCGCTTATTGGCTGTATGGCTAGTTCCATGCTTCATTATAAAGGCTGCTCGTGAGGTCACTCGTGTTGTATATGCTGATTATGATTCTTGGTGGCAGATGGTTTTAGTATTGATAGCTTTGCTTGTGTCATGGACTTATTCAACCACAATCTATTTATCTGGTTGTGCATTGTTCAATTTAGTGTGCAATTTCCAAGTGATACACTTTGAGAATTATGGGAAGCTTTTGGAAAGGGATTTAGATGTCTCAGCTTATATTGATGAACACATATGTCTTACACATTACTTATCAAAGATAAGCCACAGGTTTCGAGTATATCTAGTTCTAGAATTCTTGCTGGCAACAGCTACGCAGTTTGTGTCCCTGTTGGAAACCACAAGAAATAGCGGAATCATCAATTTCATTAATGGTGGTGGTTTTGCAGTGAGTGCAGAGCCAAACTCTTATCTCTGTCTTAATTTTTATTTTCTTCATGCATAAGGTTTATGATCTGTAGCTATGCAAAACTTGGATAAATGATTGACAAAGAATAAGTTTGAGGAACTTTTATATGCTGTGTCAATGCTTTTTTTTTTCTTTTTTTTTTTTCTCTCTCCTTCCATTTTTCTAGAAAATTTCATTTAAATACAATCAACTTCTATTTTTCATCTTTTGTTCCTTGATTATGATATGGCAGGTCATCTCTGTTATTGAGCTTGTTGGCACAATACTATTCTTGCATGCAGCTGCAAAAATCTCACATAGAGCTCAAGCACTTGGATCTGTCGCTAGCAGATGGCATGCTTTGGTTACGTGTAGCTCTATGGACACTTCTCAACAAGGGGTGAATGACAGTGGTGAAACTATCAATCAGATGGGCTCATTACGAATAACTTACTCTGAAAGTGATTTGGAAATTGGTGATTTTGTGCCAGTTCCAACGGCTAATCAACTGGCTTCATACATGTCTTTCTATCAAAAGCGGCAAGCATTTGGTTGGTATATTGCCAATTACTTAGTTTCTTTATATTGCCAATTACTTAGTTTCTTTATATTGCCAATTACTTAGTTTCTTTATATTGCCAATTACTTAGTTTCTTTGCAAGTATGTCACTTTCTCTTGATAATTAATTCTTCTTTTGGCTTAACATTCACTTGGGAGTATGTCATCTTTGTTATTCTTGGATTGACTAGAGTCTTACTTGAACCTACCTTTGACTCTGTCTTGCCCTGTTCATGCAACTCATACATTAAGGTATGTGCATGCTTGTGTAGATCAACACCAGTTCAGTCCTACCTACTTTACATTTTCCATTTAGTTAAGACATTGTGGGTTTCAAATATTGTTTCATGTTGTTCAAGGGGGGGTGATGCATAACAGATGGAGAAGGAGGTGAGAAATAAGGAGACGGGAAATAGGAAAAGGAAAAGGGAGAAAGGTAGGGGAAGGAGGGAGGGAAATCAAAAGAAAAGGACCATGACCCAAGGGATTATGGTAAAGAATGAAAAAAATTATATGAGAATTTCAAGTATTCATTGATAATCAAATCATCACACAACAGAACAAAGAGTAAAACAGCATACAAATGTTTGTGTGGTCTATACGAAACCCTAATGGAATTTTAATAAAGAAGAAATAAATCACTAATTAAAGTTTCTGATGGAAATATGAAACTAATAAATAACCTGAATCAACTAAACACAATAGTTTAAATACTAAAAGATACTACAGGTATATCAAAATTGCAAATAACATTAAATACTTCATCCAACTTATCAGAAAAAGAAAAAAAAGAAAAAAAAACTTCCTCCAAGGTACTCTGTATTGCATAAAGGGGGTGGTAATGGAAAAGGATCAAATGAAAAGGGGAGGGGCAGGCTCAGTTTCTAGCTCTTGCAGGTGTCTTTGTTATAGAGCAGAAGGTGCAGAATCCATCAAAGTTTAGCTTTAAAACAAATTATCTTACTATAGATCATGAATGCTGTTTTCAGAAATTTTTTACTATCTGATTTACAGAACCACATAAGAGCTAAATTAGCTCCTTGGTTGAGGAACATCTTCCACCTTCCCTTTTTTCTTTTTCTTTTTCTTTTTCTTTTTACTTTTTGCTTAGTTGCATGAGTGGAGTGCAGCATGTTAAGTTTAAAATCAAGAAATACTGGCAGCTTGTGAGAGTAATAGGAAAATTATGGAACTATATATGATCTGTACATGTCTAACCATCCAATCCAGGCACTGGAGAGAGTTCTTATGATTATTTTGAGTTTTCAGATATGTGTTACCTGCGTTAATGACTCAACCCTTTTAGCAGAGATCTTCTTAAACAGAATGCCCCCCTTGTTATGTCATAATCTGATAGATAGCTGAAAGAACATCTTTGACTGAGACTGGAGTTCAGTTTCCTGCCTCATTATTTCTCCATTTTGGATGCACCATTTGAGTCTCTTGCACAAGCATCCAGAAGCCATTAATCTCCATTAGCCGTGTCTTATTCTGCATTGCACTTGACTAGATAGTTTCAGTTGCCTTTCTTTGCATTACCTGATTAATCTCTCAAATACAGCTCAAGCAATAGTCCCTTTTCCCAAAACAAAGAGAATAGTAAGTACTTTTTTAAATATGGGTTGTGGGAGGCAAACCTCCTTCATCCCTTTACCAAGCCATACAACTTGAATGCATAACCTCTTACTTCCGTTGGAGCTGATCACCACTTATTCAGTTAGGTCGTTGGCATGAATAGTAAGTACTTAAGAAATTAACAAAATATTAGCAAAAAATGGAAGTTATTTTCAATGTAAGAATGACGTTAAATTACATAGAATGTTCTTTTGCAAATCATCTCTATTAATGTTCATAATAAAGACTATTTTTGACTAATTCTGGTCCGTTTCTTGTCTTGGCATTGCAGTTATGTACGTGCTGTCTAACCCTGGTGGGTTGACAGTATACGGATGGAGAATTGATCGGACACTCAGCATCACCATCGTTTTCATAGAGATGTCTCTGTTTCTTTTTGTGCTGGGCAAGACCATAACCATCACTACCGATTGACCTCCACGTCCCTGCCTGATGGTCCTCGTTTTTTAAGGTGCCATTAGCATTGTACACAGCATCAATATTGAGTATTATGCAAAGGACAGTATAATTTGTTTGTAATCTTCTCTTTTTCCTATTATACTCTATGCAAAAAAATAAATAAATAAATAAAGTGTTGTAACCATCACTACCGATTGAACTTCACGTACCTGCCTGATGGTCCTCGTTTTTTAAGGTGTCATTAGCATTGCACACGGCTTCAATATTGAGTATTATGCAAAGGGCAGTATAATTTGTTTGTAATATTCTCTTTTTACTATTATACTCTAAGCAAAAAAATTGTTGTACAATCATGTGGGTCCGTAGCTTATTACACTTTTTTATATGTATATATAGGCCTAAATTTAATAAATAGTCTATTAGTTATATTATTTATTTT